TGTCATGAATCCAAACATTCGTCAAGTTCATGGTCACTCCCTGGTTAGGGGCGTCAGTGACACTACCAAGAGAGTGGAACGCAGCAGCCGAGTTGTCACCCTCGCTGGTGATAGCCAGGTACAGGAAGTTCACTTCCTGTTCATCCTCATTCACAGCCTCGAAGATAGCTCCATCGACCTCATCGAAAGTGGCGATAATCTGCGCCCGCTCGTCGTCACAAAGCACACCGCTGAAGGACAGACTTTGTGAAAATTGAATAGGCGCGTCTACCTCGATATCACCACCAACGTAGATGATGTCACCATCTGATGCAGCTTCGATAGCCGCCTCTAGCGACGAATAACAAACCTTGTCGATTACTGCTCCATCACAATCACAGGCTCCCACGGTATCTGGTGGTGGAAGTGGGCCGGATTCGGTACAGCAATAGTCTGACTTGCAACTTTTAAGATCTCCACACGCGCCGGGATACTCGCAGCACTTTTTGCTGGCATCTAACTCGGAGGCCAAAGGGCAATAGATACCGTGTTTCTCTTGGCACTTGATAGTGTAATCTTGAGGTTTAGCAGAAGGCGATGGCTTAGGGTAAGAACCACCGTCAATGCAACAGTAGCTGTCGGTACACTTACTCAAACTACCGCACTCGTCAGCCCAACGACAGCACTCCTTCTTTTTGTCTACTACCTTACTACCGCCGCATGTGAAGCCACCCTCCGACCTCTTTACAGCACAGTTGATGTAATTATCAACCGGCTCGTAACTGGGAGTGCTGGATGGTGAAGGATGAGGAGTTGGTGTGGGGATGGTCTCTTGGCAACAGAATGAGGGGGTGCACTTGTTTAGATTTCCACAGCTCCAACTGTACCGACAGCACGACTTGTCGTCCTGAACCGCATCACAACCTAGGGGACTTTCGATCTCTTTAATCGCACAGGTGATGTAGTCGCTACCAGGGACAGTGGAGGTAGGTGTGACAGCAGCATTCATGGACGTGGGAGAGGCAGATGGCGTAGCTGAGGCAGATGGCGTAGCTGTGGCAGACGGTGTGATTACTACTACGGGTTCCATTGACTCGCTTGCTGATGGGGTAGGAGATGCGGTTGGTGTACTGGCAGGTAAATCTGAAGGTAACTCGGCAGGTAACACAGCAGGTACCTCAGGGGACTCGGCAGGTAAATCGGCAGGTACCTCAGGGGACTCAGCAGGTAAATCGGCAGGTACCTCAGAGGACTCGGTAGGTAACTCGGCAGGTACCTCAGGTGACTCGGCAGGTAAATCGGCAGGTAAACCGGCAGGTACCCCAGATGACTCGACAGGTAACTCAACAGGTACTTCAGATGACTCGGCAGGTAAATCGGCAGGTACCTCAGGTGACTCGGCAGGTAACTGTTCCGGTGTAGCGACAGGTGCCTCCGAAGACGATGCCGTTGGTGTAAGGGCAGGTGCTGTCACTTCAAAAGAAGAAACTGACGGTGTTGGCGTAGGGCTTGGAGCAGAACCTTGAGCCATCACAGAGGCAGCAAGTGCAATAATTGTTGTTAGTGTGTGGACTCTCATCGTGCTAGTAGTCAAGTTAACTGTGCCTATATCGCAATTTAATAATTCTGAAGTTAAAAAGTGCCGTTGCACTGGCTTATATAGGGCATGTCAATGCAAATCTGATTGCAATATACCTCAAAGTTCAAACTGGTTGCAAATATATGCTCTCGCATTTGTTTCGTGGTCATGCGCCCTGTCGAACTCTCACTTAGGTTTGGTTTGTTTGTTTTGTTTGTTTTATTAATTTTGAGTGTATTTGTTGAAAGAAAACTAAAAGTAGAAAAGGAGCGACGAATTCCGGGCTTCGACCAAAAAAAACAAAAACAAATGCTTTTATTTATTTATTTTGTTTAAAAAAAACCAAAAGACCATAGGTCATTGTTTCTTCATCTCCATATTTGTTTGACAGACTGACATTTCACATTTGATAGTCCGCCGACACTCGACACTGACACTGCCTGCGGCACCCGCTGAGTCGCCATGATCTCGCCCCAGTGCCTTCCGAAGTTCCGTCCTTCAGGAGTGAAGGCGAGGACCAAAGCATTTCACTTTCTTAAAAGAAACATTGAGCCTGAGCTGCGAGCTTTTGGACACAAGAAGTCAAGAACGAATAATAATAGTCAAAAAAAGATAAATGTTTAGTTAAATTTGGGTTTACTCATTGTTTTTAGCTACTCATAATATGTCTGATAAGCAAATCCTTTTACTGCAAATTTTGTAAACCAATTCCAAGTCTCCAGAACTTTGAACAGTCGACACAGACACAATAGTCACACACACTTTTTTTAATGTCTTTTCTTTTCAAAACTGTTCTAGAAATGAGAAACCAGTGTGACTGTCACACACTCATCACAGTGTCAGTGTGTTGTCACTTGTCAGTTGTCACTGTGAGACGCGAGTATAGGTCTGGACTCTGGTGACTCTGGTCCGTCTGGGACATGATCGATAATTTTTTCTTTTACTTTTAAAAACAAAAAACAAAAAACTCATTGAACGTATGCCGAATAGCGGTCACTCTCTGAGAGAATGAGACTCTGGGACTCTGAGTCCTAACTCCTGAGTCCTAACTCCTGAGACTTGAGAGTTGAGACTTGGGAGTCTGAGTCTACTACTCTGCGACTCTGATTTTGAGCTAAAATAAAATAAAATTGACCGAGTTTGATACATTACACTCTGATATGGTTTTAGACAGTTTCGGATTGGTCCGAAAGTATTATAAACAAATTTTAAAAAATGGGTTGGAAACTTATTTGATTGTTTCTTGTTTTTTCTTAAAACAACTATAAAATAAATTTTAGATGTATTTAATTTTTGTTTATTTTAAAGCAATATAAATAAATGAAAATACATATTAAACATGTCGGAAACAGAATATGTATTTTAAAATATCTTCAGACATAGTATTTATCTTCGCTTCTTGTTTAGGAATAGGAAATTCGGAATTCGGATGTTAGAATTGCAGAATCCGGAATCGACCTCTCGGCTCTCGAGTGACTTCGTTGAGACGTTGAAGTTCCTTCACGTTGTTGTATTCTGGAGTCTGGACCTGGTGTGGCTGGGGCTCTGGGGCTCTGGGGGTCTTGGGCTGGTTACGCTAGTATGTTCACGACATCACAAGTTCACAACAAGAGTTCATAGTTTATCGCCTCCTACCTCTGCCGAGAGTGCCGAGTGCCGAGTGCCGAGTGCCCTCTTCTTCTTGTTATGTGTGCGACTGTGCGAGACTGCGAGTTGTGAAATTGCGAGTTGTGACTATTCAATATTTAGTACATATTTAGCTGTCGCCCTGTCTTGAGACATGTCTGACTGTCTGGCTTATGGTTCCTAATTTTTATTTCGTTTGTTTTACTCTAAACCCAAAAAAACAAGAAATATAAAGCAGCAGTGAGTAGACTTGCACTCATGTCTCACAGTACTCGTTAGATCAATTTTGATTCACTTAAAACAATCGGACTGTGTGCACGCCGCCTCCACGACTCCAACTGCTATGACAAAGAGCCAAAAACAATGTTGAAAAAAAAACTCGATCGGTTTATATTATTAAGATTATAACTGCTCCGAGCCGTAGGAGATGAGCACCTGAGTATGCCGAGCTTAAGTTGCGCGTCGATTGTTTTCGACTATCCTATTTCGGATTTCCTTCTTTTGGTTTGTTTTAAAAAAACAAACAAAACATCTCTCTACTACTACTAGAGATGATATTTTGATTGTCTCTCTTAAAGGAGACAGAAATATAAAAATAAACATATTTTTAGAAGGCATAGATATAAAGTGTATATTTTAGAAGGCTATGGCATTATAATAACTTTTGTATTTAAAAAAAAGGTATAATATGTAGCCATCTTTTTATTTACAAACAATTGAAACAATATTTATTTTTGTTTTTGTGGTTGTTCTTTTTTAATATATACAATTATATATGTTGTATTTATTATGATGAAGAAGACTATGTAAATATAATATATGTAGGTAAGTACATGGCTATGAATGTTAACATTTAACATTTGACATTTGGCAGACAAGAGTCACAACCTCAAAGTCACAAGTCACGTGAGCGTTGTTGTCTTAATTCTTTATAAATAGTGAGTTGGTGTCTTCTTGGACTGTTCAGTGACTGTTGTATGAGTCAAACATACCTTTTTAGGAAAAAACATTCTGTTCCTTGACATTTGGCATTTATGGCATTCGTAATGTAACTTTCGTCAGTGTATTTATTTATAGTCTGTAGAGTCAGTGTAGACCTCAGAGTCTGAGACCGAGAGGCTGAGACTAGATTGTGAGAATTTGTTCACGGTCCTCTGCTCTCTGGATTAGGGTTTAGGACTTTAGGGTCTCACTTACTCACTAAATTTACGATTTCCGGTACGATGAAACCTTGATTCCCGCTCGAGACCCTGGGCCTGGGGCCTGGGCCTATTCCAGCAGAGGGCCGCGACTACTGATGAAGTGTGAATTGTTCGAGTGGAGTGCTCAGTGTTCAGTGTTCGCAGTTCGACACGCGTCAATCACACAACAAGAGAGAGTAAAGTGTCTAAATCCTTTTCAATATTTATGCCCATGAATGTTTATTTATATAAAAAAACAAACTTTGTTTGAATCCAATGAGTTTAACCAATGAATTTTAAAATAGCAGAGCTTTTAGCATAGCTTCCTGAATTCACCACTTTTAGCCAAAGAAATCCACTATTCCTACTCCAAGGGTCATTCTGGGCCTGATGATCGACCCAGCGGCTATGTAGGGTACCAGCGCCCGGGTCCCCAGCAGTATATAAATAGTTGCCGAGATATACGAACCCATTTTGTGGTCCATAAACAAGCGTACTACTAAGCAGTAGGCACTAATCACAAATACGGGACTGTGCTAGTTGGAGAGCTACTTTAGCAGTTCGTGCATAGTTATTTACAAGTATATTAGTTTAGAAATATCATATTATATGACTGGTCGATTATATTGCGATTAAATGGGAAGTCATCTATGTCTTTGTACACCTACTCGATCAATTTATTGTGTGGAAATGCACATCCCCTCCTCAAGGTGGCTAACTGACGAGTCTTAGCGCGGTTACGGGTATGTATCTCGGTATATTAATGCATTTCGTACAACCGGATCTAAGTAAAAGTTTTGAAAACTATAATAAAGAATAGTTGTGGAACTATAAAGTCCCTTGGTCTATGCGGTTTTGTTAGGCGAACCTCGTTACTGCGTCCGGTCGTGTGCATCTTGACTAGTTTTTCCCTTACCTATTGTAGCTTTGGGTATATATGAATTGTAAAACTATATATAATCGACAAAAATATGATATTTTAGGCAGTATTTGGTATGCTTTTCAATAGCATCACTGTGTTAATGGCTTTGTGCGTTGGTGTAGATCCATGTTGTTTAGATCAGTCTGCTTCTGTCTATTTCTTTGTTATAAGAGCGACTAGCTAAAGAATAGCTAAAGAAGAAAAGACAAGTATTAATAAGCGGGGTATGAAACAAAACAAGTACAGTTTGCCTTACGTCTCATCGGTTAGCGACCAAGAATAGATTGTTTCTGTGCTCATTCGATATATAACGCTAGTATATATTGTGTATACAAGTACATCTTCGAGAAAATGATATGACAGTACAGTGTTAGCGTAACCATACAGAATGATTCCAATTAGGATCCAGTTTGGTTGCGGACGGTTATATATATATGTATGTATGTATGTATATGTATATGTATATGTATATATATTTATATATATATATATATATATATAATATATTATAAACAAATAGAAACACACACACAAACGCATATATATATATATATATATATGTATGTATGTATGTAAGCTGCACATCTCTCTTTGATTGTCCAATCAACCTTGTCGCCAATGGTTGTGACCAAGTGAACCGCATTCTTCATCCCAATTAAAACAGTTCCTGGACTGGTGTTTCACGTATAAAATTTGAAAAAGCAGAATATTGACTCGTACTCCTTATAACATGTCGTGGTTCTTCAGCTTTCACTTAGAAACACAAGACAAGTGTGCAGTCGTCCCGGACTTCGATCAAGTTCTACATTAGAAATAAAGTGCCTTGTATTCCAATTTATTGCTTCCTACTAATATCATACTCGATAGCCCATGTTAGACTACATTCTTAATCAACAAACGGACTGCATATTTACTACTGCATAATTGTTAACGAGCATCTAGTTGATGGTAGTTGTCCGACCGAT